ATGCAGGTTGGGGGTGCTCCGGAGAACCCCGGAGGGCTCCCGTATTGCTCGGGGTTCCGAGAGAGGAGCCTCTGAGGGTTCCCGGAGGTGATGCAAAGTCTGAAGGGTCTTGGGCGGTGCCGGCCAGAGAAGCGGGCCGCCTGGGGAGAATGGCTAATCAGTCCTTAGGTGATGCTGGGGGGACTCGCTGGCGGTGCGTGGGCCCCCGGGTGGTGAGTATCCTGAAGGGGTGATGGCCCATCTTTGAGATGATGTGTGATGTGTGCACTTGGGGAGGGGGGATAGGCATTCTGCAGAAATGATCAGCGACACCTCCGCCCACCCCACCCCCGCCCCAGGTATTGCCCTCTGGAGGTGATGTAGGGGGGAAAGACTTGGGGCTTGTCGAGCCTGGGTGGGTGGAGATGAGTTCTGGAAGTGGTGGGAGAGACTGAGCAGTTGAGCAGGAATGGAAATCCAGACGGTGAATAGCATCGTAAACGAACTTGGGGTTTGGGAGGTGAGGTCCTGCGGCAAAGGAGACTCCAGCTGAGGGGAGAATGGGAGGTTGAGAGGGGCTGAGGCCCTGCAGCCGAGGGGGAGCTCCTCAGAAGTGGTAGGGTTCCCCAAGTGAATGAGAGTCCAGAGGTGGTCACCCCAAACCAACTTGACCCCTTGGATCTGATTCATGGCCACCTCACAAATAGGATAGCGCTCTCCAAGGCTGGATAGCAGCTGTATGCTTAACCATCGCATCGCCAGGGCTTCGTAGAGGTGACAGATATTGCTCAAATTGGAATGCTGGCGGTATAGTAATTACACATTGGGCTGCAAGATTAGTAGCTAGAAACCACTGTCTGCTTCATTGGAGTGAGACCACCAAGCTTTTTAACACACACACACACACACACACACACACACACACACACACACACACACACACACACACCGCCCCAATAAAGAAACCCATTGGGACATTCTTTCCTGTCCTATATTGCAACTATGAGCCGGCATCGACTCGAAGCAGTGCGTTTGGTTCTTAGAGTTTTCCACTGTGATTAGGGGGATCCTGAGCGTCAGGGACCCTATAGTGAAGGGGGGAGTGTCCCTGGGCTTGCAAGTCCCGCTTGACCCTGAGGTTTGAGAGACTCCTGGAATTTGGGGAGGAAGGGGAGGGGACCAAGGGTATTGGTGGTCAAGACCTGGCAGGAACTGGGAGTTCAGAGGCAGTGGGGACCCCTAGGCCCAGATACTCTTGGCAGGGGAGTCCCTAGGTTACAGGGGGCCACTACTTTGAGGAGGGCCCCACTTTGGGGCTGTACTGTGGCTGCCAGGGCAAGGTTATTCCCTTGGCTCTGATTTGGTTCCGGTTTCCGGTCTGTGGTTGCCCCCGCCCTCTCCAGTCACCCATCCACCTACCCACTTCCCTCGGGGATCTGACCAAGCTTCCTCTTTGGGGGTGCCTTCCCCCACCTCGCACCCTCTTCCCGTCCTCTCAGAGGTTGAAGCCATTAACCCCTTCTCCCCCCTCTCTCAAGTCCATTGACCTCAACAAGCCAATTGACAAGCGGATCTATAAGGGCACCCAACCCACCTGCCACGACTTCAACCAGTTCACCGCGGCCACCGAGACCATCTCCCTGCTGGTGGGCTTCTCAGCTGGCCAGGTGCAGTACCTGGACCTCATCAAGAAGGACACCAGCAAGCTGTTCAATGAGGAGGTGACTTCAGGGGGGTGGGGTGTCCCCAAGGCGCACAGACCTGCTCCTCTCCCCACCCACCTCCGGCACGGCACACACCTGCGTGCTTATTCACACACACACACACACACACACACACACACACACACACAATTCGCCATGGGGTTGCATCTCTGTGTGGGGCGGGATGAACAAAGAAGGCGGGAGGTGGGTTGCCATCTGTCTGCTGGGGTGAGAGGTGGCGGCTCATGGGGTAACGGCTGATGAGACTGACATGCACCCCAGCATTCTCTTGGACCTGTGGGTACTGACCCGATGGGTACTGACCCGTGGTGCCTGTTTTGCAGATTAGAGAGTGGAGGCTAGTGAATGGCTGGGACTTGGGTGAGCCTGGAGCCCTTGGCCTTCCGACTCAAACCCTGGTTGTGCCAAGTTCACATTGCGCGGCCACGGGGAATGACTGCCCCCTGCAGTGTCCACGCTCTTCCTCTGACCTTGGGGGACTGTAGTCGCCTCGGGAAGAGTGTGTCACAGTCTTGGGCCACCTTGGTCCCAGAAGAGTGCCACCTTAGGGCTAGACTCCGGCGCCAGGGGCAGGGCTGGGCCTGGCCCAAAGGAAGTGTGTAAATTTTCTCAGGATGAATGAATGGCCAGAGAGCACAAACATATACCCAGCACGCAGTAGCTCCTCCTTTCGCTAGATCCCTGTGTGCAGGGACCTCAGATCAGAGGGAACAAAGCAGACCAAACTCCCGGCCTCCTTGGCAGTGTCAGCCTCGCTGCAGGATGGGCACTTGGCAGACACCCTGATCGAATGTCAGAGTGTTTATGTGCCAAGCAGAAGGATGGAACAGGGACGGCGTGGGGGAGGTGGGGGCTGGTGTGTGTGTGGCAGGTTTGAAATGGGGGTATTGAAGCAAATCTGAAGGAGATGAGGGCTACTAGCTGGGGTGCAGTTCATATACTCCCCCCCCTCCCCAAATAGGGCAGCAGAAAGGCTGAGTTGAGGGGCAGCAGGGTGTCTGTGAGGAGCCAGGTCACGAGGGTCTGGGAGGCCTTTACTTCTCCAGAGACGGAAGCTTCTAGAACAGCCTTTCTCAATCTGGGCTTCTCTTCTGAACTTTAAAGCCCAGAAATGGCTTAGAAACTGGTTTTCCCGACTCACTCTCACACTCACTCACTCACTGACTCACTCTCACACACTCTCACTCACTCTCACACCCTCTCACTCACTCACTGACTCACTCTCTCACTCACTCACTCTCTCATTCACTCACTCTCATTCACTCTCTCACTCTCGTTCATTGACTCACTCACTCTCTCTCTAATTCACTCATTCTCACTCACTCACTATTCACTCACTCTCATTCAGACTCACTCTCACTCACTCACTCCCTCTCTAATTCACTCACTCTCATTCACTCTCTCACTC